ATACACTGGGTCAAGACAACAAATTGTCTCAAGAAAGAGAAAGAGAAAGAGAAAGAAAAGAAAAGGAAAGGAAAGGAAAGGATAGGAAAGGAAAGGAAAGGAGAAAGAAAAAACAAAGGAAGAAAGGAAGAAAAAGGAAGGAAAGAAGGAGGAAAGGAAGGAGGGAAGAAAGGAAGAAAGTGAGCCTTTTTTGTAAGTTTATTTTGCACCTGGGTTGTTGTTTGTTTGTTTGTTTGTTTGTTTGTTTGTTTGTTTTTGCCAGAGCCTTAACCATGAGTACAGCAGGACTCAGCACAGCCAGAAAGAAAAAGGAGAGCTGAAGCCTCATTTATTGTGGAATCAATCCTGCACAACTGGTTAGAAAGAAATCAGGTTCCCTAAGCACCAACAAAATTTGTCTTTTAAATGTTCAACAGACCTGTAGGCAAAGAATGCAGACAGGCATTTGGCGGAAGAGGTCAGCTGAATGGCCGCATGGGAAGGACACACTGTCTCTCAACCTTAGTCAGGGAGATGCAAGTTTAAACAACAAGATACCAACTCCTCTATCAGAGTGACAGAATTGAAAAGACTGACCAAACTAAGAATTATAAAGCGCGTGGGTAACTGGAAACTCATCCACAGCCAGTGTGAGGATAAACTGGTATCATCACTTTGGAGAGAAACTTGCCAATGGCTAGGGAGGTTGAAGAGAAGCCCATGTTCCAGGTCAGTTGGCATCCTCTTGAAGCCCTTCCTCTCCCAAGCTGACACCCTAGAGAAAATCTTCTACATAGACTGTAGGAAATATTCACAAGGATACTCACCGTAGCATTGTTTATAACGGTAAAAACTAGAAAGAGCCTAAAGATCCATTAAGAAAGGAACAGAGAGGGGTGCCTGGGTGGCTCAGTTGGTTGAGCATCTGACTGTGGCTCAGGTCTTGATCTTGCGTTCGTGAGTTCAAGCCCCGCGTTGGGCTCTGTGCTGACATCCTGGAGCCTGCTTCGTATTCTGTGTCCCCCTCTCTCTCCGCCCCACCCCTGCTTGTGCTATGTTTCTCTCTGTTTTTCAAAAATGAATAAACATAAAATTTTTTTAAATAAAAAACCACAAAGGAATGGATAAATAAAGAGTGGCGGTTGTTATCAGATTTTACTGCTCTTGTATCCCACCCCAAAGACGAAAGACTCTGTGCTCCTTTACTTGGTTTTTTTTTTTTTTTGAAGTTTTTATTGTGGTAAAATACGTATAATATTTACCATCTTAACCATTTCTCAGTGTCGAGTTCAGTGGTATTAAGCACATTCACATTATGGTACAGACATCACTACCATCCATCTCCACCCATCTCCAGAACTCCTATTTTGTACTCATCAAATAATAACTCCCCAACCTTCTGCCCCCCAGCTCATGGCAACTGCCAATCTACTTTCTGTCCCTATGGTTCTGAGCACAGTATTTGTCCCTTTGTGACTGGCTTATTTCACTCGTCATAAGGTTCTCAGGGTTTAGCCACGTTGTAGTATATGTCAAAATTTCCTTCCTTTTTAAAAGTTGAATAATATTCCATTGTGTGGACATCCCACATTTGCTTATCTTTCATCTATCGGGGGACACCTGGGTTGCCTCCACGTCATAGCTCTTGTGAATGATGCTGCTATGAATGTAGGTATATTCCTTCACTCCATTTTAACTTGACATCAAGCATTTTTCATCATAAATAGATGTAAAATATATAATTCCAACGTGTTATAAATATTAATGTTTTAAGATAAAACCTTTACATCACTTTTTAACTTTTTCTGATAGAATATGAATAAATAATGTATCAATTTTATTTCCACCCTCACTGTTTTTTTTTTTATGTTTATTTATTTTTGAGAGAGACAGAGAGAGACACAGCATGAACGGGGGAGGGGCAGAGAGAGAGGGAGACACAGAATCCGAAGCAGACTCCAGGCTCTGAGCTGTCAGCATAGAGCTCGATGAGGGGCTCGAACTCACTAACCGTGAGATCATGACCTGAGACGGAGGCTTAACCAACTGAGCCACCCAGGAGCCCCAACCCTCACCTGTTTTCAAAAGCAAGAACATGTTCTTTAACTTTTGAAAATTTTTCATCATTCCTTTTTCCCCTCTAATTTATGAATTCTACCCATCTTCCTGCATAGAAGTTTATCCTAATGTAGTATGTTTTTATGCTTGAAGGGCTTTTATTGATCAGACTTCTCTGCCAGAAAAGCATATAAAATGAAATTTTAATTTCCTATAACCATGAATTTCCAAGTATTAAAAATGTATTTAGATTATGCCATCATTATAGCTATTGGCAGTGCAGACTGCTCAAAAACAACAGAAGTTATATTGAAAATGAAATGTTAAACATAAAAAGTAGCCTTTGGTAATACTGTACTATAGTTACAAAATGTTACCATTGGGAGACACTGGGTAAAGAGTATATGAGAGCTCTGTATTGTTTCTTATAATGCAGTGTCAAAATAAGAATTTTTATAAAAAAATAACTTTTAGTGGAAATTCAGCTCTTAAAGAGATGGATAGGCCCAATTAGTTAATGAACCCATAAGAAATTATTACCTATTGCTAAAATGAGACAGGGTTCAACATCAATTATTTTCCTACCTTCTTTTCATCCAGTGTAAGCACTGAGAAATCATGTTCTTATAAATGGTTTGGTTGTAGCAGAGACGCTAAATCTTTTAACTTTTTCAAAAAAAAAAAAAAAAAAAGAACACCACAGGGCGCCTGGGTGGCTCAGTCAGTTAAGCATCCACCTTCAGCTCAGGTCATGATCTTGCAGTTCATGGGTGGGTTCGAGTTCCACATTGGGCTCTGTGCTGACAGTTCAGAGCCTGGAGCCTGCTTCGGATTCTGTGTCTCCCTCTCTCTCTCTCTCTCTCTGCCCCTCCCCTGTTCACACTCTGTCTCTCTCTCAAAGAATAAAGCATTAAAAAAAATAAAAAAAATAAAAAAAACCACAATAGTGAGCTACCAACAAAAAGCCATTTTAATGATCTAGTTGTTACTCTGTTACTTTGCAAGGGCTGCTGTAAACAAAGTACCACAAACCAGGCACTCCACAACAGCAATGTATAGTCTCACAGTTTCTGGAAGCTACAAGTCCAAGATCAGGGGTGAGTTTATTCCCTTTCAGGGCTGTGAGAAAGATCTGCTTTCCCTCTCCCCTACTTTCTGGTGCATTTCCCACCATCTTTGGGTTTCTTGGCTTGTAGAATCATCACCGTGATCTCCGCCTTTATTTTCACATGCCATTCTCCCAGGGCATGTGTCTGTATCCAAATGTACCCTCTTTAGAAGGACACCAATTATATTGGATTAGGACCCACCCTAATGATCTCATTTTAATTTGACTTTACCTTTAATAAAACCCTATCTCCAATAAGGTTATATTCTGAGGTACTGGGGGTTAGGATTTCAAAATAGGATTTTCAGGGGACATACACACTTCAGCCCCTAACAGTTGGCAAATCTAGTAGGTCTTCTTTCAATTGTGTTGAAAGCAAAGACTTGGGAACCACTGAACTGCAAGTGGCTTGATTACTATCTTTAGAGTTACTCACTTCTCAGTTTCTGGAAGCCGACTAAGACAGGCTTTACCAATACCTATTTACTCATACCTATGAACTGTACCATTCTTTTTTTTTTTTTAATTTTTTTTTTAACGTTTATTTATTTTTGGGACAGAGAGAGACAGAGCATGAACGGGGGAGGGGCAGAGAGAGAGGGAGACACAGAATCGGAAGCAGGCTCCAGGCTCTGAGCCATCAGCCCAGAGCCCGACGCAGGGCTCGAACTCACGGACTGCGAGATCGTGACCTGAGCTGAAGTCGGACGCCCAACCGACTGAGCCACCCAGGTGCCCCTGAACTGTACCATTCTTATCTCACCTAGAAGCAACTGCCCTCACTGATGGACTTAGAAGGGGTTGGGGAAATATAAATATTTTTAATTTCAATACAGATTTGACAAAACTATATTTTAATTAAATGTTTTTCTTTTATCATAGACTTTAAACTTTGTTTTCATCAAAACTTTGGAGCTGAGGATTTTTACCTCATTTGATTCGCTGCAAATAAAAATGCTGCCAACTAATGTCATTGGCAAAGCCAGTCTTCAATGTCAAACCAAGTAGCAACTCAGACTGTGTGTTGAAAAGGAAGTCTGGGGGCACCTGGGTGGCTCTGTCGGTCAAGTATACAACTTTGGCTCAGGTCATGATCTCACGGTTTGGGAGTTCGAGCCCCACATTGGGTTTCGCGCTGACAGAGCGCGCCTGCTTGGGATTCTCTCTCTATCCATCTCTCTCTGCTCCTCCCCTGCTCTCTCTCTCTTTCAAAAGAAATAAACTTAAAAAAAAAAAAAAAGAAAGAAAGAAAGAAAAGGAAGCCTGGTTCCCTTTGCAATGCAATGCTAATGAACACGTTAGGAATGAGCGCACCTCCTATAGTAACTGTGTGGCTTTGCATTGTAGCTCTCCAAAAGAGAGGTGAGTAAAGTGATGGGGCCAAGGAGTTGGCCATAAAGTGCTCCGCTTCCAGCATTTCTCCCAGACACCCTCTTTGCCAGGATCTCAGGGACTCTCCTCAGGAGAAATGCTTATTCCTAAAGGAATGGGCATGGAATGAAAAATATCTGGGTGTTTCCCCTTGTTGCCCACAGAGGGTTTCGAACCTCCTGGGCATTGCCCCACAGTAACGTATGGGATGGTAGCAGGTCTGCCTTTTGGTTTTAAAGCAAGCAAATGGCAATTATGAAAAAGAAGGCAGGGAAAGAGAATCAACACGAAGACAAGACACAGACATCTGCTCCTGGGCAGATCCGTCTTAGGAAAGAGAACCAATGGCAGTTGAGGATCTGGAAAATGAGCCCCTTCAAATATCGTGCATCCCCGCAGACAGCCTCCTTGTCCCCCAGGGGTATGAATACTCTGGTTTGAGGACCCCCAAACTGTCGTGTATTCACAAGATAATGTTACTGTACACCATTTTAAATGAATGAACTAAATCTATATGTAACAACACAATGCAAACTCAAAGACATACAATATGACAATGTGTCTGTAGATTGAAACATTCTCCAGAAAAAGTGGGAGTGACGTTGACAGGTATTTGTCACTGAGATAAAGCAAAGCCTTGTCAACTCTAGAACCCAAAGGCCTTTCTAGGCCCAAACAAGCTAACTCCTTCCAAGGAGACAGTATTGTCCCCACAGAGCTGGATTGGCAAGAGGAGGCAGCAGGGCCACTGATTGCAAGTTGTCCGTGTAGTCAGTGTCTTAGGAGCTGTGGCACGGAGCCCTGATTAATTTCGTACCCCTGCCCTGCCCGTGTATGCCTTCTGAGTGTCTTCGTGTCATGTCAGTTAAGATGATTTTATTTCCACGTTTTAAGAACGAACACCTCCAGAAAAACAAAGACTTGCTTCAATTCAGCACAGAAACTGGTGACTCTCCTACCTTGTCTCTCTCTGGATGTTTTTAAAAAGAAGGGGCTCGCCTGGCGGAGTGTAGTTCTCGTGTCTTCACGCCACCCCGCTGGAGTGCCGTGGCTTGGGGTAGGGGACGCACCTGGCAGGGGAGGGCAGGCCCCGCTCAGCCCTCTGCACACCTGGCTCTATTGCATGCAAGTATCCCCCGAATTTGCGCGCGGATTGCATCTGCTCTCCTGCTTGCTGCGGAGCGGATGTCCTCGTGGTTGCATCGAGAATCCGCCACATTCTGTAAAAAAAAAAAAAATGTCACAAAGCCTCCTTTGTTTCACACGTTGCCTTGGCATCCCCCTCCCCTCAACCCTCTGTAGTGCTCTGTACAAAGGGGCTGCCACCCTCGTGGCTGACACTTTTCTTAGCTGCAAGGCTGGAAGGCCTCCAAGCCAGCTGCAGCTCTCTTTTCCTGAAAGAGACATGGCCTGTCTGGTCTTGGCTCTTTCTCCATCACCCTCATTCATGTGAGTTAAGGCACAGCACTGTGTATACACAGCCAGGGACACACGCACACATGTATACATCTATATGCCAGGGGATGATGCCCTACTGTGAGCCACAGTCATAACCATCATTACAAAAGGTTTTCCTTCCCCAGCCTCCCTCATCTTCCATTTGAAAATGTAACAGGTAGGGGCGCCTGGGTGGCTCAGTAAGTTGAGCATCTCGATTTTGGCTCAGATCATGATCTCATGGTCCATGAGTTCGAGCCCCGTATCAGAGCCTGGAGCCTGCTTTGGATTCTGTGTCTCCCTCTCCCTCTGCCCTTCCCCTGCTCATGCTCTGTCTCTCTCTCTCCGAGATAGACATTAAAAAAAAATTTTTTTTTTTTTATAGCCCATTCAACACTTAAAGTTTTGCAAGCACAGCTCACCCCAAGCTATGATGTGACATGGTGGGGAGGGATGTTTGAGACACAGTCTTCGCCAGGCAAAACTCACAGGTGGGGCAGACACATGGCACAGATAATGCCACGTGGCTCAACTCTAGAATGAAGTAGCAACAGTGTGAGGTACATTCATTATGGGATTCAAAGCAGAAAGGCTCAGGCAACCGTAAGAAAAGGGAGGAGGGGCATCCACTGGAGCCGGAAGCTTTCAGGACCGCAATCTGCAAAAAGGAAGGGGACACGGTGTGCAGGAGCCTGGGAAGAAAACTGTCTCCCTCCAGGCATTCACCCAGGCTACACACATGTCCCTGCCAAGCACCTAAAGTCAGGTACACAGAGGAATGAGGTCTAAATCCCACAGCACTGGAGCCAGCCCCAGGGCTTAAACAGAATGGTATTTCCCGCAAAGGGAACAACGAAGGCAAGAGGAGTTTCGAGGACCTCAAGTCCCCGTGAGAATGCAGGGCCAGGGGACTGGGCAGAGGTTGGGAGCAGCCAACCCGTGTTTCAGTCTCCATTCAGTCCCGGATTTCGTAGGCGCCTCCAGGAATGACACTCTCAGATCCCCTTTATGAGAATAATGATCATGGCAGGGTGACTGAAGGTCTAGCCAAGAGAGGCACTGGTGTAGAGGCCCCACTGTTTGCAGTGTCTACACCATACAAGAAAAAAAAAAAAAACCTGTGAGGTGAAGTTTAGCAGCAGGAAGAAATCTCCACGGGTGTGGTCAGCAGTTGACTGCCAGTACCACACAAGGCGTGAGTGGCCCCTGCCCCATGGTAGTCTCCTTCCGGCGGAACACCCAGAGTCCCCTGGCCAGAGAAGCTTGCAAATCATCAACGCCTCTCCGTCCTCAACCCTCAGTGCCCATCTTGCTAGAGACACTCTGAGTGACTACAGAGGAAGGGGACGTGTGTGCTCTGCTTTCCTGCTCACCCTCACCCTCACCTCTTGTAAACCTCTGTCTCCGTCGCCCCCACAAGAAAGCCTTTCCCAAGGGTCATTTGCAAGCCTTTTTCTTCATCCACAAACCCGCAGTTCTCCACTGACCCCAGCTGTCCTGTAAAGCCTACTTCGACGGCCCATCTAGATCATGGACCACCACCTCCCTCCCAGCCCCCTCACCGGGCTGGAAGGTGGCAACCGCGGAAAAACAGGGCCACTCTCCTCGTCGGGGCTTCGGGTGACATCACATCCTCCGAACGCGAAATCTGGCTCTTCGGCCGGCCGGCGAAGGGCGCAACTTCCCCCCTCGGGGTCCCACCAGCTCCTGCGCGCGTCCGCTCGTGTCGCTCAGCGCCGAGTGCGCCATGGCCTCTCCGGTGACTGCCCAGCTCCTGCCGCTGGCCTTGCTGTTTCGTGAGTTGGCGACCCTCGGGGAGGGCGGGGGCGGGGCAGACGCGGGGCGCCGGGCTCCCGGCTCAGTCTGGACACCTGCCACCCGCAGATGCCGCCGCAGCCGCCGGGCCGAGCCCGTTCCGCTTATCGCCCGGGAAGGTGGAGGGCAGGCTCGGCCAGCGGGTGGAGCTGCAGTGCGAGGTGCTGCTGTCCAGCGCGGCGCCGGGCTGCACCTGGCTCTTCCAGAAGAACGAACCTGCCGCCCGCCCCATCTTCCTGGTGTACCTCTCCAGAAGCCGGACCAAGTTGGCCGAGGAGCTGGACCCCAAACAGATCTCGGGCCAGAGGGTTCAGGACACCCTCTACAGTCTCACCCTGCACAGATTCCGCAAGGAGGAAGAAGGCTACTATTTCTGCTCGGTCGTGAGCAACTCCGTTCTGTACTTCAGCTCCTTCGTCCCGGTCTTCCTGCCAGGTCCGAGCGCCCAGGGCGCGGCACCTCTCGGTGTGCGGTTTAGGACTCCTCTCTGAACCCGTGTTCACACGAAACCCCCGCTTTCGGGCCTCTTAGAGACCTTGTGTGGGGGGGGGGGGGGCTCCTTAATACTGCTCCCATTTCACAGACGAGGAAGCTGAGGCTAAGGTGCGGCTGGGTCGAGGCTGAAGATGGCTTCTTAGGTCCGGCCGATTTGGGCTCGAGTTCGGGTGCTCGTCTACTCCTGGGCAGTTACTTAAATTCTGTGAGCCAGCGTTTGTTCGTCAGTGACCGGCGGATGTCAACCCAAGCCCGCAAGCTTGAGGGTTGAGCCATGGAGAGAGGCTGGGTGACCGGGAGCGGGCTCCTGCGTTCCGGTCCGAGGCGCCGGGTGCGCTTGGCGGAGCCGGGGACTCGGCAGGGTACCGCGCGCGCCGCAAAGGGGTGAGCGCGAATCCTCGAAGTCCCTAATCCGTCTCCCCGCCTTGAGTGCAGAGATCCGCGAGCGCGGAGGAGGCGCCCCCTGGGGCAGAGGCGCGTGGGGCAGTGGGGAGGGTTAAGGTAGATGTCCCCGGTCCGACTCCAACTAGGCTGTGTTTTTCCCGCAGTCAAGCCCACCACTACGCCCGCGCCGCGACCGCCCACGCAGGCGCCCATCACCACGTCGCAGCGGGTGTCTCTGCGCCCGGGGACCTGCCAGCCTTCAGCGGGCAGCACAGGTGAGACAGGCACAAGGTCCCGGGGCGGGAACCGGCCAGGGGCCGTGCGGACCGCAGGGAGAGCCCCTGCTAGGGCCAGCCCTGATCCTGGAGGTAGAGGCGAAAGCTGTCCACGTGGTGGGAAAACAGACCCGACCCGAGAGACAGGCCCAAGCTGGTGGTATGGGGTGGGAGGATCGCGGGCCGGCTCCTAAATGTCGGCGTTTTCGGTGTCTTCAGTGGAAGCAAGTGGGCTGGACTTGTCCTGTGACATCTACATCTGGGCACCCCTGGCTGGGACCTGCGCCTTCCTTCTCCTGTCGCTGGTCATCACCGTCATCTGCAACCACAGTAAGTCCTAGGGAAGCGCGGAGTTACGGGAAGCGGTCTGCTCCACTGGCTCCGATTCCGCGGCTTGCTCCAGGCAGCCGTTGCCCGCAGACAGGATGGAGAGTTCTGGGACTCCGAGCTGCACTGTAGGGTAAGGCAGAGCCCATTTTTTTTCCTGGAGACAGAAGTCGAGAAAGTCCCTTGTCCCTCTGCTTTCCACTCTCCGGGACATTTTCCCGACGACAGAGCCCTTATCCCAGGGGCCGTAGCTGTGGTGAGTCCATTGGCTAAGGACAAGGCAGCGCACAGATCCTGGCTTATCGCAAACGGCCGCGGGGGAGGCTGCCGCTGTGGCCCTGGGACCAGTGCCCAGAAAGGCTGGTCAAAACCATGACGAGTTGAGACTGACCCTTAGCCGCCTCCTCGCGAATCCCCTACTACTTTGGGTCCCACCGTGGGTGACTGTACTAACCCATCTTAACCCACATCTGCATTTTCAATGCTTTTTAAAATTGATGAGAAGAGGGAAGGAAAACTCCCTTACCTGGCTCTCAAAAGTTAAAATCCTAAAGAAATAGGAAAAGGGAGGGAGAAACTCTATCTGGGGACTATTGGTGGAGGGGGGGGGGGGGGTCAGTCACTTTACCCCTTCTTTTTCTTATCCAGGGAACCGAAGACGTGTTTGCAAATGTCCGAGGTGAGTGTTTTGTAATCCCTGGGCCTAACACTGGGCAGCCCTGGGCAGAGGCCGGGCTTCCCAAACAGCAGTCGGTGGGAACCCTTCCCAGAGAGAGGCCACAGCAGTGGAATTGTGGGAGCAGGGAATCAGCATAGTTCTTGAGCAAAGGGAGGCACAAGGCAGGCACTGTGGGGGAAATGGGGGCACAGGTTGGGCTAACAGGAAGAGCAGTGTGACTATAGTAAATCTCCCTCTTATTTGGCTTAGCACCAAAAATCCCATCTGAAGCATTCGCCCAAAGAATCCTAGCTCCTCAAAGACCTGAGGTCTCTTCATCTGGATGATTCCAGCTGGCTTTTATTGTTTTCTTAAGAAAACTTTTCCTTCCCACTTGCTTGTTCTAGATTTTTGAGAGTCTAGTGTTTTGAGAGAGAGCCAATCTTCTATCAGGGAACCAAATAAACAATGGTCTAGGTTCCTAATTTCCCTGTGTCAGTGCAGGGCCTGGATTTATGACCAAGGAGTGGACTGGAAGAAAAGGGAGCCAGAGGCAGGGGCAGTGTCTGGAAGAGAGGTCTCCGTCTCCACAGTCCTTTGAACTTAGGCTGAGGCAGCCCTGCCCTAACATCTCACTGGCACCACTGGAGCCCTGCACTGTGGTGGGGCTACACTCAGGATCTCTCTTATCCACACAGCAACCCCATGTGAGAGATACCACAGTCCCATCTCACAGATTAGCAGCTCAGCTCAAGAAACCCACCAAAGACGGCAGAGACATGACGACACCCAGATTATTGATAATAATAAACCACTTGATAAAAGCCTGCAGAGTCCCAGCTACTAGCCATATATATACATATATATATTAATTTCAAGTTTCATAACAATTTTACAAGTAGTTACCATGACCACCATTTTTCAGATGAGGAAACTAATGGGTAGGACATTTAGTGACTTGTCCAAGGCCATACAATCAGCAGGTAGCAGAGCTGCGACTTCTATCCAAAACTCAGGCTGCTTCCTACGATTGGGGGGTTGGGGGATGGGGTTGTTTAAGGATAACATATAAGAATTATATTCACTGGTTTCTTTCAGTAGATAAAAATATTTCAAGGTTTGTTTTTTAAGTTTGAGAGAGAGATAGCATGGGCGTGCGCACACACACACACATACACACAAGCAGGGGAGGGGCAGAGAGAAGGGAGAGACAGAATCCCAAGCAGACTTTGCACCATCAGTGCAGAGCCCGATGTGGGGCTTGAACTCACCAACTGTGAGATTATGACCTAAACTGAGATCAAGACTCTGACACTTAACTGAGTCATTAATTTTTGAGGCGCCCCCAAATTATTTCAAGTTTCATTCCTAGGGTTTGCATTTCCCACTCCTTGATATTTCCCTGCAGGAAGCCAACTTCACTATCTCATATATCTTTATATATATATATGTATATATATATAAATATGTAACAATGGAAATGTAATGAATTTCCAATGCCTGTTTTAAATGCTATAACAAGGGGATAAAGACCCTTTCAAAACAGAGAAAGATTTTTAGCATTTTCAAGTACTTGGGGTGCAGTTGGGAGCTTTTGGAGGAGGATCATCCCTTATCTGTATCTTTTCTGAAAATTCTCATTTTGAAATGAACTGAGAGGGTCACCTGGATGGCTCAGTTGTTTCAATGTCTGACTCTTGATCTTGGCTCAGGTCATGATCTCACGGTTTGTGAGTCTGAGCCCCACATCAGGCTGTGCACTGACAGTGCAGACCCTACTTGAGATTCTCTCTCTCTCTCTCTCTCTCTCTCTCTCTCTCTCTCACTCTGCCTCTCCCATGCACTCTTTCTCTCAAAATAAATAAACTTAAAAAAAAAAAAAAGGAACTGAGAACACAACTCTGCCCTAGAATGCAAAGCTATACTGAGTAAGCATATCTCAGGGATCCACATGCATGAGTTAACATATCTAGTGATGACTGAGGGCAGCTCAGCTTCCACAGAGACGTTTGGGAGGATGGTGTGCGTAGACATGACACTCATGATGCATTAGCCCATTTAGGAGGCACTAGCCCAGTACTGAATTAACACACATTTTTAGTGTGACATCAAATGTGGGTTGTTTGTGTGAGATAAAGTAGC